ACACACACACACACACACACACACACACACACACACACACACACACACAGAGCCGAGGTGGGGAGGAGGTGGCACACCGTCCGCTTCAGTCACCTCCAGATAGGAGGAAATGACAGGAACGCGTGTCCCGCCAAGCAATGACCTGGGTGCACCAGGCCCATGGTGGCGTGACCCCTCCTCTGTCCACGCCACAGCCGCGATGACATTAAGTGACAAAAGGACACAGTCCCGAGCGCTGGTCAAGAGCAGAAACCGACCCACACGGGTTCTCGGGGGGACGCCGGGTGCCCTGTCTCTGATGAGCGCTCCGGGGCTCCCCCGGCAAGCGTGGGGTCACGGGTGGTGTCCGCCCCTGCTCGTTAGTGCCACAGCCCCGCTCCACAGGGAAGGGCGTCCCTGGGAGGCAGCCCCGGGGCCGGAGGGGCCTGAGGAAGCGAACGGTCCTTGAAGCAACAAGTGGAACGCAGAAACCCAGATACGCAGCTCCGCACGCCCCGAGTAGCCAGGCGGAAGACAATCTTGAAGTCGCAAAAGGACAACTCAGAGAATAGGAACATTCCGAGTGAAATTCACGACACCGAATCAGGCAACTGAGTCCACAAGTTCTTTACTCCATCAGCCGGGTCCGGAGGCCGTCCGCCTGCGCCAAAACGCGGGACGCCCGCAGCTGCCGCCAAAAGCGCGGAGCAGACGAGCGCACAGGACAGCGCATCGTTCGTCGTTCTCACGCTGACCGTCTGCCCGAACAATCTCGCTTCCGTGGCCGTTGGCAAACCTGGAATTACATACGTGCCTGCCGTCTGCAGCTCCTGAGACGCTCTGGCCGGGTGTGCCGTGCTGGCACCGGGCAGCCAGGGCCCACCCCCACGGCTTCGTGGAGGAGGCGGCGGGGAGCAGCGGTCCGGGCTGAGCGTGAGGTCGGGCGGCCGCGCTCTGGGCGCCGTGCTACCTGTCTAGAGCGCACCGCGGGGCCCGCAGCTGTGCAGAACCACTGGGAACTCGGAGCCAGCCAAGCTCCGCGGGACCGGGAGGGAGGCCCACCAATGGAGACATCGTGAAGGTGTGACCAATGGGCCCTGTGGCCGAAAGAAATGGTGCCTAAGCGTCGGACCCCCGTCACCGCGGAGTGGAACCGCTCTGGGCAGGTGGCCAGCGTACACAGTCAAGAGTGCCCACGTGCTTCCGAGCAGGGGAGACACCAGAGGCCCATGCGAGGGAGGGAATGGGGGCTGCAGGGTTGGCCTATGGAGCTGGAGGTCCTGGCACACGGCCGGTGGTCATGGTCAGGGCAGAGGCCAGGCCACAGGCGGAGGGGAGTAGCAGGGCAGCCCTCACCAAAGGAGCCAAAGGCAGGAGACGGCCAAGTAGGGGCTGGCCGCCGAGTCGGACACCGGAGAACAGGGGGATGGAAGGCGAGCCCTGGACCTGGTGACCCTGCAGAGCGGCGGGCCAGGCGGGAGCTGGGGTGACGGGAGAAGCCGGGCCATGCCCTAACGGCTTACTGCCAAATCTTACAGACCCCGAAGGGGCGGGGTGCTTCTAACCGCTTCCGTCCTTCCTAAGGTGCCCTGGGATGACCTCCGCTACCTGTTTGGAGAAATCATGTACGGCGGCCACATCACGGACGACTGGGACCGGCGGCTGTGCAGGACGTACCTGGCAGAGTACGTGCGGGCGGAGATGCTGGAGGGCGAGGTCCTGCTGGCGCCAGGCTTTCAGATCCCCCCCAACCTGGATTACAAGGTGAGGGAGTGGTGATGCTGGCCTGGCCGGCGCTGGGGCCCGCCTGGCGTCGCAAACAGGGTATCCGTGGTTGAGCTCCGAGAAGCCAGGCAATGAAAATGAGAGCCAGCTCGAAACAGCCTCGGTGGGGGGGGGGCACATGGAGATGGTTCATGTGACTGGGGGGGCCGGGGGGGCAGCCAGAAAGGGGGTTAGAGAACCAGGCGGGTTTGCGCAGAGGGCAAGGCGTGGGCAGAACCCTGGGTCAGAAATGCTTTGATGGGTGGTGGACACGGGTTCTGGTTAGCACAGCCTCGGCAGCCCACCCACCCCACCCCTTCTCAGGGTTACCACGAGTACATCGATGAGAACCTGCCCCCCGAGAGTCCCTACCTATACGGCCTGCACCCCAACGCAGAGATTGGCTTCTTGACAGTCACGTCAGAGAAGCTGTTCCGCACCGTCCTGGAAATGCAGCCCAAAGAGACCGACTCCGGGGCAGGCACTGGAGTCTCTCGCGAGGAGAAGGCAAGAGGCTTCACGGGCAGGGCCCGGAACCTGGGGTCGAGACGTGCGCCCCCAGAAGCCGGGGTGGAGCTGCGAGCTGCCTAACAGGCCCAGGGGCCGTCCCCCAACCCCAGGCCTGACTCCCCGCAGCCTCTAACTTGGCCCAGCTGGTGTGCGAGCAGCAAGTGGGGGGCTCCTACCCAGACGAAACAGAACAGCCCCTCCCCATGAGCTCAGAAGACCCCAGGGGTCATCCCATTCACACTCGAAGAAACAGAAAAACTTCAGGCAGCTTAAGAGCTTTTAACCTGCTCTCGCTTGTCTGGTTGCCTCTGCCGCCCGTGAGCAGTTACCGCCTTTACGCTGCTCAGTAACTTCTGGACAAGCTCCGGCAGCAGCCAGCAGAGTATCCGGCTTAACCAGTAACAGCCCGTTCTGGGCCGGAAGACCCTCAGTGCTGTGAGGCCTCATGGCCCTTTCTTGGCCTCACGACTTCTGGCAGCCGAGCTGTACGCAGCCCCGAGTGCGTCCCCTCCTGGAGAGGGTGTGACCAGCAGGCTCCCACAGAAGCCCCCTGGGAGACCTGCAGGTCACAATCCTGTGGGTGGCAGCTGATCTGACCAGGGCTTGGGTTTGGGTGGGGGGGGCTGTGCACTGGGCAACGCCTGCAGGAACCAGGCTAGGGCGCCCTGCAGCTCCCAGGGGTACGGTCCCATGGCCTTGACGACAGGACCGAATATTCAAAGCCTGTTGGCGGAGATTCCCTCCTCTGGTCAGACGAGCAGTTGCACCTCCGTGACCCTGACCCTTGGGCAACTCCGCCGCCCTTGGCTCCGGGAGCCCTCGCTGCGAACCTCTGGGGCAGGCTCTCTGATGCGGACGCTGGCCGGGGGCTGGCGGGCACAGGCAGTGATGGGCTTGTCGGGGACTGACTTCCAGGTGAAGGCCATCCTGGAGGAAATCCTGGAGAGGGTCCCGGAGATGTTCAACATGGCTGAGATCATGGCGAAGGCGACTGAGAGGACGCCCTACGTGGTGGTGGCCTTCCAGGAATGTGAGAGAATGAACATCCTCACCAACGAGATGCGCCGCTCGCTGAAGGAGCTGAGCCTGGGGCTGAAGGTGACAGGGGACAGCCAGGACTCAGGGACTGGACGCAGGAGGCGGGCGGGCCACCGCCGGGCACTGCAGGACACGGGGCCCCGGGCCCTGGGTGTTGGCACAGCGCTGCTCCCTCTAGGTTCCCTAGTCCGGAGCTGCGGGCCCACCAGGCTACGGGGGCGCACATCTTCCCGGGACTTGTGGCACGGACAGGGTGGGAGAAACAAGACGTGGGACTTGCCAGGACCACATGCCCCCAGCGCCCCACCCATGTGTGTCTCAGGGGGAACTGACCATCACGACCGACATGGAAGACCTGTCCACAGCGCTGTTCTATGACACCGTGCCCGATCCATGGGTGGCCCGGGCCTACCCCTCCATGATGGGCCTGGCGGCCTGGTATGCCGACCTACTGCTCCGCATCAGGGTGAGGACACTCCGGGCGTCCCAGCAGACCCCCACCCCCAGGGCCAGCAGAACATGGGCTAAGAAGGGGGAGTGTGTCCCCACCAAAGGCCTAGAGGCCCCCCACTGGCCTGGCCTTTGTCGGAGCAGGGCCGGAAGGGCCCGGCCCGCGCCACACAGCCCACGATGCAGGCGCCTTCCACAGAAGGGAGGGGACAGCGGCCCGACAGTCCTCTCCGCCAGAGCCCACAGCCCCTGCGGCACCCGTCAGGGGAGCCGCCTCGACAATGCCCCCTTTGGGACCCCACACTGTCCTCGAATGTTGAAGCCCCTCCCCAGACCCTCCTCTTCCCATTCCCTCATGTGAAAGGGAGCCGGCGGGCACCGGGCTCGGCTGAAACCCGTTTCCGCCAGGAGCTCGAGGCCTGGACGACGGACTTCGCCCTGCCCACCACCGTGTGGCTGGCCGGCTTCTTCAACCCCCAGTCCTTCCTCACGGCCATCATGCAGTCCATGGCCAGGAAGAACGAGTGGCCGCTGGACAAGATGTGTCTGTCTGTGGAAGTGACCAAGAAGAACCGGGAGGACATGACGGCACCGCCCCGAGAGGGCTCCTACGTGTACGGGCTCTTCATGGAAGGTAACGAGAGTGCCGGTCTGAGGAAGCTTCCAGAGCCAGTCCCGCTGGGCTGGAGGACAGAGACGAGCAGGGAGGGCCAGGTGGCGGGGGCAGGCAAAAGGGGTGCGTCAGCTCGAGGCATGATGCTGGTGGAGACGCAGGACTCCGAGCATGCTCAGACAGCATCGGGGGACCAAATCTGCCACAGAGGGCAGCCGGCCTGGCTCTGTTGGGCCAGAAACAGCAGGTGCGTCCTCAGGAGCGAGCACCTGTTTCAGAGTGGTGAGGAGCACAGCCCTCCAAGGAGGGCCCAGGGGCAGGGAGCCTGGGGCAGATGGACTTCTGGGGGTGCCAGCGTTCTCACCGCAGTCCCAGCTCCGCGGGGCCCGGCCGAGCAGCAGCACGGAGGGCACCGGCCGCCCCCACCAGCCCGTCCTGAGCTGGCGGAGGCCGCGGGGCTGCCAGGCAGCCTGGTCCCTTAGACCTGTCGGGCTGAGTGCCAGCTTTTCCACCACAAACTGTCCCCCTCAGCGACTGATGCCACCCCCTTACCTGTGGGGCGTCAGGGCTTAGCCAGCAAGGGCTCAGGGCTCCCCGGTTCCCACATCAGAGACAAGCACGACAGAGGCCGCTCTCCACGTTTATTTTGGAGTGACGGACAGGAAACACAAACACCATTAACAGGCTGAGTAGAAACGACAGCAGTCTGGTTAAAGGCAAGTCACAGGTGCGCGTGCACTAGGACCGGTGCCTGTGCGTGCACACGCGGACGGGGCGATGTGCATGTGGCCTCCTGGGACTTCCAGGCGGAGCCACCACTTCCTGCCACTGAGGCTGACGAGGCTGACCGACAGGTTTGAAAACACCACATACGTAAACAGGTGGCCCCGAGAGCTGGAGGCGGTGCCGTCCCTCAGAGGCACGTGGCGGGGTCCCCGCAGTCCCCGAGGGCCCAACACTCTGCCGGGTTCTGTGCTCACAGCCACGCGTCCGGCCGTGCCCGCGCTGGCCCAGCCCCTAGTGCCCCCCGCACCCCAGCTCGCTGCCGGCATGCCATGCGGCGCCCAGGCACGGCCTCACGGGCCAGCCTGCGCTCACGGTGCTGTCCTGCAGGAGCTCGCTGGGACACCCAGACCGGAGTCCTCGCCGAGGCCAGGCTGAAGGAGCTGACGCCGGCCATGCCTGTCATCTTCATCAAGGCCGTTCCTGTGGATCGCATGGACACCAAGAACATCTATGAGTGTCCCGTGTACAAAACACGCATTCGGGGCCCCACCTACGTCTGGACCTTTAACCTCAAGACCAAAGAGAAGGCCTCCAAGTGGGTCCTGGCGGCCGTGGCCCTGCTCTTACAGGTCTAGTGTAGCTGGCGCCCTGCGTCCCCAGGCCGGGTCCGAACCCCAACTTCAAGTTGACAATTAGAAACTCGGCCCTGTAACTGTTACTTATTTTTACAGGAATTAATAGTTGCTATTTGTTCTAAGTGACCCTGGTACCTTAGAAGCGTGTCAAGATGGGCAGGCCAGAAGGGGGGTGCACAGAAGAGGGGGGCCAGGCCAGATTAAAACAGTGACATCACTAAGTTGTGCTCGTCTGATTCACTGGCGCTGGGAGCCCCCCGTTTCCACCACTGAGGCAAGCCCCCCAGGAGCCCTGCAGCCCGGAGGTCAGGCACGCGTCCCTGTGCCCACTAGCCGCTCAGAGGTGTGGGCACAGCAGCCACGGCTTCTGGCCCGATGGGCCACGCAAGCACCCTGCCAGCATGGGGCCAGAGCATGCCACACCAACAGGAACCGCCACCTCCACACAGTCCCCAGAGGTGCCGTTCCCTTCTCCCGAGGACAGAGAACCTTTCTTGACTCAGACAAAGCCTCCTCCCTCCCGGGTCCCAGGCGCTGAGACGGGCCAGTCCAGACATGACTTGGCCCCATCCACCACCCACTTCCTGAGCATGCGCACAGAACACCATGAACTCGATTCCCGGGACCACCTTCAAGTGCATCCTCGGAGGTTACTCCGAGTAACTCCCAGAGGCCATGAGTCCCTTTCCAGGAGGCACAGTGCCTTCCTTTCCTCCCACCCCCGCAGTCCCAACATCCCGGGGAGTCCCCCACCACACCCCGATGGCGGCCGGGATTGCTGAGGCACAGACAGCGCCAGCAGCAGAGAGCCACTGTTCAGCAGCCGGGGGTCCTGAATTCCCCGGGGGACACGTGCTGCAGCGAGCGCAGGAGCGCCGACAATCCCACCCTCTGCTCCATCCCCCAGCCAATCTGTTCCAGGTCCCGGAACCTGTCCAGGGAGACAGGACTACGGAAAACCACCAGCCCGAGGAGAAGCGCCCCCAAGCACTTGACCTACTGCACCCGGGGGCCGGTGCGTGCTGGTCCCGGGGCCGCCTTGGGATGACCTGGCTGATGCCTCAGGCCCTGACTTTTCACGGCCATTCCAGCCAAGCGAGCAGGCTGCCATTTGGGGCTGGCCGGGCTGGCGGCATACAGACGAGCAGGGGAGTGATGAGCCGGCACGCCAGGGGCGCAGGAAAGGCAGCTGGCAGGGCCTGCTAACTCTAGGGGAAGCCTGACCTACCACACCCTGATGTTCTCGGGCTCTCATGCAGGGCAAGGGGGTCCTCCAGGAACAACTGGCCTCGGGCTAAGTTCAATCTGATCCTGAAGTTTTGTGACTACTGTTTCCCAAGCAGTGTCACTGGAGCCACAGGAGAGGAGACTCCCTGAGACCTAACTCTGAGGGTAACAATCACAACAGCCCTGGGGCCTGGTGGGGCTCTAAAAAGAGAAGGAAAAACGCCCCTCAAATCCTGGTCAGGGAGCAGGAGGCTGAGGGTCCCACCCCTCCGGGGCAGCACGGCAGGAAGGCGGAGCCCCTGCAATGGCTGCTGGGTGGCCCCTCTGCTGGCCAGGAGGGGTCACTGCTGCCCTTCGTGGCAGAGCTACAGAGCCAGTGGCAACCACTCCTGGGACTAGAGAAAAAACTACCAGTGGCCATCAAGTAACTCATTTTTAATCCCTGGTAATAACCACAAAATGGGAAGGTTTTGCAATTTTGCCTGTAGAGTCTGAAATAAAACAGCCATTTCTTCCGCACATACTGCGGTTAGCAGACAAAATGACCTCCCAGCTTTCCCAGAGATGATTCACCTTTGGGTTGCAATCCAGTGACAGGGACCCAGGGACTGTGCCTCTATAGTTGCTATGGGCCCTGGAGCCCCTGCCTCTGGGGGGTCCGGAGACGGTCCGCAGAGACAAAGGGAGCAGCTGAGCATGGAGGGCAGAGGCCCCGATTGCTCAAGCCGGGCTGTGGCACGATGTTGACTCTGGTCCCACAGAATCTGCAGGATATGAACGCTGTTTACCGAAAGCCTCTCTCCAAACAGAAACCCAGTGCCCCTGGCTCATTCTTTTGGCTTCTCTAGTCTAATTGTCCCACAGGACAATTTAATAACTAGTTCGAAAGCAAACAGTGTTAAGTGACGTACCGCTGCCCCAGAACAGCACAGCCACAGCCACCGCCAACCCCGCTCCTGGTTCCCAGCCACGAAAGCCTGCAGATGCGCCGGCCCGCTGGGGAGAGGCTGCAGATGCTCTGACAAGGTGTTCCTAACACTGGAGCACCTCAGGCACAGCCAGGCTGTGCAGACAGGCCAACCCCCCTTCCAGAGCCCCCCAGGGGGACCACCAGCAGCCGCCAGCCCTCGCCAGCCCTCGGGCAGGGTAGAAAGCTACTGCCCCCGCCCAAGGAAGAGCTGCCACACCTGGGGCCCCCGAAGGCCTTCTGTCAGGAAGGTCTTTCTCTGTGCAAGGTTCGAGCGCCTGGAGACGCAGAGATTGGGCAACAAAGGTTGTGAAATCTGCTCCTGGAGACACAGGGCAGTTGGGGCGGGTGGACAGCCAGGCCTGGGACGAATCGACGCGCTACGTGTTCCGAAGATGCCGCGCTGTGAGATGACGACCCACACCGCGTTTTAGGCAGATGCAGTAAAAATGAGGTTCACTCTTTCACAAAAAGAATCGCAAAGAAAAAAGAAAAATGAGGGGAGCCCACAGAAGAAAAGAGACTTAGGTGATGCATCACCATATTACACAAGGTCTGGACCTTACCCGGAACCTCAAGTCCAATACATGGAAAAATTGTAATAAAAAAATATCAGGCGACTGACACCGTGAAGGTGGCCGGGGTTTCTGCTGACTCTAAGGGATGCTGGCTCACGCTTCAGCCGGAACGCTGGTACAGTGTTTGGCTGGGGCCGTCTGTGAGACTTCAGATCTGAGGGGCGGCCAGACACACACACTATCCAGAAATACAGAGCGGCACGTAAACCTCAGTAGAAACAGGTGAGAGTCAAAGCAGCTGCTCGGGAGGCGAGCGAGGCGGAAAACCGCTGCACCGTGTCGGACGGCTAGTGGTACATTCCTCTCTAAATCTGCACATTTGATGGGGCGCCTGGGTGGCTCAGTGGGTTAAAGCCTCTGCCTTCGGCTCAGGTCATGATCTCGGTCCTGGGATCGAGCCCCGCATCGGGCTCTCTGCTCAGCGGGCAGCCTGCTTCCTCCTCTCTCTCTGCCTGCCTCTCTGCCTACTTGTGATCTCTGTCAAATAAATAAAATCTTTAAAAAAATAAATAAAAAATAAATTTGCACATTTGAATAAAATTAATGAAAATATGGAGGAAAAACTAAATGATGTAATTAAACACAATTTTGTTTTAACGAAAGAAGTCCGGCACCAGCACCCAAGGGAGCCCCTGCCATGCATCTGTGTGTACCCCCTCCCTCCTTGGCTGGTGGCCCAACACCCCGCAGAGAGCCAGGAGACGAGTTCCCCTGTGGGGCCGTCTGGGAGAAGGACAGCATCACTCGGGAGAGGCCCCACCTCTACCGGCAGCCACACCCTGCCCGACCTCCCCGCGTCGGCACAGCCAAGCAGCAGCCCGAGTCAGCCTTGCTCGCGTCCCCCTGTGGGCCACAGCCAGTGGCTCTGGGGGCCCAGCAGCAGCCTCCATCCCTAGGGGCAGAGCGTGACCTGTCACTGAGCGTCCCTCCTGCTCCCACCGCCCTGGGCGCCACTTCACGATGCTGGCCCGGGCCGTGGTGCTGGTGTGAGGGGGAAGGACCACCCCATCTAGCTTCGGGCCTGGAAAACTTCGATGACACCCATGGTGACCCGCGGGACAGAGCCCTCGAGCCCTAGCGAGACATCCCGGCGACCACCCTGAGACAGAACCCCCGTGACCCACATGCAGCCCCGCAAGGCAGCACCTGTCGGTCCTCAGAAGAAGTTCTTGATCAGCGGAGTCACCATCTTCACCCACAGCTTCACCTGCCGGCTTGGCTGCTCAAAGGTGGCGGAGGACACCACACCTGAGCGCAGGTAGAGCTGCTCCTGCTCCTGAGGGGGAAGAACAAACAGGCATCAGGGTCTCCTGCAGCTCTGGATGCCACGGTCCCCGGCCCCGACGTCCCGCATGGAGCCAGCTCAGGCGCTGGGGGGCAGGGGGGCGGCGGCGCCAGGCAGGGGAGGCCGCCTGAGAGCCGCTGGAAAAGAGCTAAATTCATGCTCAATCTGGCTGCGCAACTTAAAGACATGTTCTTGAAATGGGAGGGTTTCTCCTCTCTCAAGCTGGCACAGAGTTGCTCTGTGACCGTGGTGCCCAGAGCCGACAGAGGCCGTGTGCTCCGCCACCGCAGACGGGGTCCCCGCATCTTCCCGAAGAGCAACTTGGCAACAGGTGTCAAAGCCTTAAGAAGCCCCAGTTGCAGGGATTTATCCCAAGGGAGAGCTGCGCACCCGAGATCTCTGCGATCTTGTCGTCTACCCCAGTGCCGTTCATGACCGGGAAAAACTGGAAAGCACCTAAATGTCCACCACAACTGATTAAAGATAATAAACCCATATGACAAACCAGCACGCACCACAAGATAATCACATTCTAGAAGACAACCAAGAATATAATCCTAACTCTGTTAAGAAGACAAGTCATGCCTTTCCACACACACAGAACGAGAGGGAATCCTCAGAGTGACTTCCGTGACGTTTCTGAAAGGAGGGGCAGGCACCTTCCAATCTTTCTGAATTTTTACAATGAACGTTTATTTAATATTTAAAAACAACTTTAAAGACACTCATATAAACCTTCTCTTAAACTGTGCTTATAATCTGAGAGGAAACGCTTTCCTAAACGACACACTCCCTAAGTCCTGTGTTTCCATCAATAAGGTATCGGACGAAATGGTCAGAAAGTTATCCCACTGGTTCCCACCACTAGGCGGGGAGAGAGCCATCACTCTCCGGATCTTGGATCCCTTTGTCCAGAACATCCCAACGACGCCACACCACCATGAGGACCTGAGAGAATGGCCCTGAAAACAGGGCCCACTATGGGCCCAGGGGTGCCAGAGGGAGTGCTGGGATGCTCAGACCGCCCAGGGAACTGAACGCGCTCTTCTCTGGGGGCAGAGACGCCCCAGCAAGAACGGGGGGTCAGAGGACACGACAGGAAGTGTCCACAGCTTTCCTGTCCGGGGCTGGACAGACCCAGGAGCCCGACTTCATTTCTCCTGCATGGTTTTCAGGCTCACACCCTCGCCTCTCTCTCGAAGCCAGGGTCCACGCACTTCCGAGCTGAGCGGGCTCCTGGGTGCCAGCAGCGAGGGCCCGTTCCCTGGCTGGACGTGCCAGATGGAGGAGCCACCTGCGGCCTGGGGGACAGGCCTGCAGAAGTGTCCACAGACCCGGCTCCAACTTCATGCTCTCAAACGAATACTCAGCCAAGATTTCAATTAAATCACCAGAGACACTTATGGTTCCTCAGAGACCCCAAAACAGGGCCGGAGAAGGAAGTCAGCTGGTCAGAGTTACAATGCTGGCCAGGGGAGTCTTTCTCGGGTCACAAGTGGTAAACCGTGTTCTCCGAACAAAACCAGGAAGCTTTCAGTTTTGATTGTGCGTACTAAGTGAAGGGAGGGGCTTTGGACTCTGATAAAAATACCTTTCCATTCCCAGCGCCCAGTGCGATAGAGTAGGGCCCTTCCCTCTATCTCCCCAAGGAGAACAGGAGAGCAAGGACACGGGCAGCCAGGATTCCAGGGACTTTCTCGGCCGTGGGGAGGTTGTGTGGCAGGGCAGTCCCAGGATCAGGCACTGTAGGGCCACCTGGCGGGAGCAGGGGGGCTGCAGGCCCAGCATCCAAGTATACAGGTAGAATGATCTAGAAATGCGTTTCTGCATTTCACAAGCACAGAAATCAGTGTGCCTCTGGAGAAGGAAGGGCCACAGCAGCGTGAACTGCCACCCTCCCACAGCCTGAAGCCCCTGGGACTCAGGTTTGGGAAGAAAAGGAAAATATCCCAAATATGCCATTTGGGAAAACAGCTCCTGACCACAACCCGTCCAGCTTCCCTCCAGATCCAGGATGTGGGTTCAATCCCCTTACTCAGGAGGTCGAGGAGAGGGACCAGGACCAGGCCTGGGGGACTTGCCCCCACAAATCAACCCAAATCCGTGGGGAACTGGTCCTGGCCCGAGGCCCGGTTCACACCCACAAGTGTACTGACCCAGGGCAGGGGCTCCCAGGCCAAGGCCTCTCTGCCACCCGTCCAGAAGTCCAGCAGACACCACCGGGGTGCGGCCCTGCCCCTCTCACACCAGCAACTCTGACTGGAGCCTCAGCTGTGAGGCTTCCTCATTTTCTGGAAACTTCACGGTAGCAAGAAACCTGCTGAGTGGCTGGATTCTGCACTGGCCACCCAGAACACAGCCACTACCACTTCCTCTGGCCCCCAGTCGTGAAGGCCTTCCCGGCACCCCGGCCCACTGGGCCGCTGACAGGATTCCCACATGGCAAAAGGCAGGTCCCAGAGACAAGGCAGTTATCGTGTCCTCATCCAGCAACAAAGGCTCCCACAGTTTCGCAACAGTCATTCCCAAACACTGGAGAATAAAAGCTTCACAAAGTCAACAGCCAAGGCTTCTGAGGTTGGGCCCACAGCAGTGTTATCTGTGTTCCGGTGACTCACGAGGGAAGCTGGCCCCCTCCATGGAAAGGGATCGCTGGAAAGGTCACAGACCGAGGAGTGCACAGCACCGCCCCGCTCGCACACGCACGGCACGGGGCTCCCAAGTACAGGCCACCAAACACACAGTCCCACAAAAGCACTAACGACTTCTCAGCAACTTTCTATTTTTCTCTGGACGGAAAATAAAATACGCGCCCCACAGAAGGAGGGCTGAGGTAGCTGCTGACCCTCTGGGAACCACCTGCATCCCCGCCCCGGTGAGGAAATGGGGCTCTCCCCCCGCTTCTCCGGGCCACGAGCCAGTCAGCAGCACCGGGTTCAGTCTCTAACCGCAGCTCGCGAAGGGGCTGCTCTCCCCACTTCCACGTGGCTGAGAACCGGCCCCGACCTGTGTCTTCCAAGGGCAGCAGGTGGGTCCCAGATCGGCCAGCTGTGCCCCAGGCCAGTGCGCTCCACAGGCTGAGCCAGCCCCCACTCTCAGGAGAATGCTCGCTTCTTCTCCTTACGGACAGGAAGACAGAAGCCTTATGACAACTGTGAACGTGAGGATAAGAAACTCCAAGACACTGCAACTCCCCAAGGAAAAGGGACCTGCCTTGTCAGCACCGTTGCCTGGCCAGAGATAAAGGGCCGAGCTAGCCACAAATTTCGGCCCATCCACACATCACCCACCTCCAGTCTCCGCAAACACCCCCACAGGGAACCCTGCTGCTGGCGGGCACCCCCGCAGGCCGCCCGCGCCATCCTGCGAGCGCCAGAGAGCTACCCCGGGGAGACGTGTGGAGTGCGACAGAATCCAGGGGACAGGGCACACGGATCCTACGGCTCAGAGACGGAGGCACGGAGCTGCCCGCGCCCTTGCAATGGCTCCATTCTCCACGAAGGCCCTCTGCATGGGACTCGGGCTGCTTCCTGAGGTCCACGTCCTGTCTCTACAGGCAGGGACACTGGCATCCTGAGTGCCCATTCTGCCTTCAGGGCTGGGGGCTCTGGGGCCTGAGTGAGCCTGGCTTCTCCCCCACACTCCCCCTCCGGCTGACCTGCACTGTGACAAGAGGATGGGGTGTCCGCGTGAGAGAAGAGTGCTCTTGCCTGCACGGAGGGAGCACTCAGGGAGGGAGCACTCGGGGCCGTGGGGCCGGAGCAGCTGCAGCGGGGCGGGGGGTGGTTGGGTTAGAGGGCACGCCGCTTCTCGGGGCGGCCCCGCAGCGGGCTTCTCTCCGGGGTGCGCTTCTGAGGACTAGGGTTCTTTCTCACACTGGAGATGGTGGCGGGGGCCGCTCTCAGGGAACCCGGCGACGCGGGCAGGGCTGAGCCCCCAGCCACCCCCCACTCAGCCCGGGAAACCCCGTCGTCCCGACCAACCTGGTGGAGCTGCTGCTGCAGGGCCCGGCTCTCTGTCACTATGGCGATCTGGGCCTCCAGGTCCCGGTGAACTGACCTGTACCCAAAATTAGGAGAGCCAATCAACGTGAGACAGGGCAGGCTGCTCCCTGCCAGGTACAGCCAGAGGCCTGCAGGGAAAAGGAAACGTGCAGACAGGAAATGAGCACAGCATCTGCGGAGCACCTCTCCATGCGTCATTCAACCTAAGAGAAAAGCAGCCCTGCGGGAACGAGCAGTCAGGGAGGCCGCGCCGTCCACCCAGGTGCCGCGCAGACAGGGACCTGGGGCCGTCCGCGTTCCCGAAAGGACGCTGCCTCGTCTCCGGCCCAAGCACGAGAGAGGCGGGTCCTTCAGGGAGCCCCGGGAGGCCCGTGCTCACAGCCCGCTCTCACCACCCTGTGCTAACCACAGCCCCCACCCCCCACCCCCCACGCAGAGACCTCGGGGCCTCTGATCCCGCTCTCTGAACCGCCTCGGCCACATCCTGGCCACTGGAACGGAGCCCCTCCTGGCCAGAGGCTCCATGGTCCTGCCACGAGCACCAAGGGGACAAAATCCATAGCTGCTTCTCGGGAAAGACACCCCTACCATGCTAAGAAGGTGGCCTAGGGAAGAGCAAACCCCCTACCAAGTCCCCGGGTGTGGGGCTGCTCCATGGGTGCGGGGGCAGGGGGTACACAGCTCTCAGTAAGCCCAGGTCACTCCACTCTGCATCCCTTCCCACCCAGGGACACGCAATTCTCCACCTCGGGCTGCTGACCTACCACACCCAAGGGTGCCAGACAAGAGTCCCTGCCAGGGCTCAGGGACATCCAAGCCAGACACATGAAGTTCACTAGAGGCCCCAAGAGGCCCTCTAAGTTTCTGTCCCGCCCAAAGAGCACCATTTCCCCTTTTCTGCTAGGAAATGAGCCTCCAGACAGCAGAGCCGGACAAAAAGCAGCCGGGGGTGCACGGGTCCCGCCGGTCCCCCAGCATGCTGGCAGGTGCGTCACGAAGGCTGCGGGCTGTCTCAGAACCCTAATCTGTCCCCTCAGACAACAAGCAGGCGGGTCTGCTGTGCTCCCGGCCCCTACACTCCGTCCCCTCCCCCAAGTCCCAAGGCCTGCTTGCCCGGTCCAGTGCCCGTCACAGTTACGTCTCCTGAACAGACCACCCCGGAAACCCGACCTCTGCAGGACATCGGCTGCCCTGGACCCCTTCTCTGAGGGGAGCACAGACTTGGGTCGGGCCGCTGTATTTCCCGCACCCTCGCTAGCACCAAGAACGCTCAGCCCAGAGAACCCAGCCCGGGAGTCGGCCCGGCTCCCCTGCTCACGGCCGGCCTCCTCATGCCCTCCCACCACGGCTGGTCTCTCCTCTGCCAACATGACCCTCTCAAAGGGCACAGGTGCACATGACCATCACGAGCCAATCAACAACGTATGATACACACCAAGGAGCCTAAAATAGAAGGCCATTTCCTAATTCTCTCTCAGAGCAAGAGCGTTTCCAAGAATACCTTGGGTAAGAGATGACGACGCTCCGAGGCCTGTTCCTGTAATGCACTCGACACCCCCCCCACCCGGGGGCCACATCAAAGCCTCCCGCCTGCCTGTGTGCGTCGCTCACTTAACTGTACCGCCCCACGGGGCCACTGCCGTGTAGGCGACCATGGGGCTCACCTCATCTCAGGTCACCGCGGGGGTGTGCGGGCTAGCCCCTGGCACTGCTCCAGATGCCCAGGGAGGTCTGGGCAGAACGGCTGAGCCTGGACCACGGCAGTGCCGGCTCTCCTCCCGTGCTGGCCTCGGCCCCTCCCGCCCACCTCTGCACGGAGCCTGAGGCTGGGGGGCCAGGGCCAGGGGCTGACCTCCCCCAGCCTCAGAGCTTTCCACCTGCCATGGCCAATCAAACTCTCGTGATGTCACCATCGGAAAGACTCAAAAGCGGTGGGGACGCGTGGGGCTCGTGGCGCAGCCAGCTCTCCAGAGTCCGCTCGGACGAGGACAGAGTGCGTAGCAGGAAGGCCTGACATGCACGTGGCTGGCACGGGCTAAAGCTGAGGTGAATCATGTGACCCTCGGGGTGTCCATCCAGGGCTCCTGGACCACAGGGCCTGCCGGGCAAGACTAAAGAACCTGGTCTTGTGGGTATTTTTTATTTCTGAAATCTGCCTGAAGGTACATCTCTTCCTCCCAAGGCAACCTAGGGCGCGGCCACGAGAGGCAGGCAGCCCACGCCAACAGCTCCTCGGCCACGCCACCACCTCCCAGTCTGCTTTCACTAGCGGCCACTGAAGAGCTGCTTCAGACCTGCCTGAGGTCCTGATCGCCGGCCCTGATGGAGGGCGCCCGCGTCCCTGTGCTGCACATGTGTGCACCCGGGCTGTCCGCTCAGTGAGACGAGGGCCTCTCCGCACCCGCCCGCCACGACCACCCCACTGGGAAGGCACAACAGACACTGTCTTCCTCCGGCTTTCGTCTCTGGCCCAGGCTGGCCTCGGGAGGGCACATGGGCGTGATGGGCAGCTCACATGTGGAACACACTGAACACCTTCGTGAGGCCGGCAACCGCCCCGCCACTTCCCCTGCAGATCCACGTGGACCGTGATCTTTCTCCATCCAAAAGGACACAAAGCCCACAGATACTGAGGCCACGTGGTGTCCGTGCCCCAGGAGCTCAAGACGCCACCTCGGGGACAGCCAGCCTTTCCGGGTGCAAGCTCCTAACGTGGGACGCGTGTGCTGCTGGGCTAGACCTGGAGGACCACCAGGAAACTTCCATTCAGGGAGGGCCTCGAGAGGGTGCACACAGGAAGGGTGAGGGGCAGGGCAGGGGCTCTTGCACTTGCCAGCAGGGCTGTAAGTCTGTTATCAAGCCCAGGGCCGACCTTTGTGCCCAACGCCTTCACCAGTCTAGGACCCGCCAGACGGGAGAGACGGCGCAGCAAGAGCAGTGGCACAGAAGGGGACTGGCCGCGGGCAGTCCACAGCCAGAGGGAGCACGCTGAGGGTACAGAGATGACTAGACTGAGTCCCCAAACTTCTGCAGGCTCCCGGCTCTGCAACGAGAGCCCTCCCTGCCTGCCCTGGGCAGCCTCTTGAGCTCCACTCCCATAGGCACAGTCCCTCCTCCATGCGGTCCCAGCGCCGCCCTGCAGGGTAAACTAGGTGGCTCAAGGGGTCCCGCAGGGCTCCCTCACCAGCCCGCTGAGCTCTTCCCACCGCCTGGCCCCCTTCCAGCCTCACTCCCTCCCGACCTGCCCCCCTCACTCTTCTTCATGCCTAGCATGGTCTTGGGACCTCATGATCTTGGGCCCCCCTCCTGGACCCCCCAGCCAGGATCTGTGCTCAGTGAGTGTCCCCTTCAGAGAGAGGCCTTCCCAACCCCCCAGTCTAACAGACCCCCATCAGCCCAGACTCCTCCTCCTCCTGCTCTGGTCTTCTACACGCCGTTCCCCTACCTGACGTTCCATGTGAACAGATTCAGCTGTCTGTACCTGCTTCCCGTTCAAGGAAACCGACACCTAGGGAGGGCAAGGGCTTTGGTCCCCAGCACTGGTTCCCAACACCCTGAATGCTGCCTGGCCCATGAAAGACACAGATGGGACATAAATACTTGTTTGAACAAAATAAATGAAACAAACGGTGCGTCTTCTAACACGTGATGAGAAAATGAAGTACAAAAAGCTCTGCCTTCTAAAGCAGGAGCTCACGACTATTTCAGGAGCTCACGACTATTTCCCTGAGGCTCTCTTCAAGAAAGATGTCAACTTACACTCCCTCCTTCCTTCACCTCCGCCACAATATTCTGCAACCGATCCCAGAGGATTCTCAGACCCCTACAGATATAAAGGGGACAGGAGACACCACAGTCCCGAACTCAGAGAGCAAAGCACTTGCCTGACACTCCAGGCGGCCGTGTCCATGTCTCTTCTCCCCTCCCCGCCCTCACCCCCACCCCGCAGAGCCCTGAGTGCAGCCCTGCCCCAGCACACACTGGCTGGTGCCCAGGGTAGGCGCGTGGGCCGCACACCCAGGGTGAGGCTGCCCCAGCTCGCACTGCGAGCTCACCTTTGGGCGCCGTGCCAAGCTGCCTGTCGGGAAAGCAGTAAAAATAGTGACAATTCTCACAATCATTAACAGATTCCTGTGTCAGCGGGAGCCAGAAATCTCTTACTCCAATGGCCTGCCCCACCCTGGCCACACAGCATGCTGTTAGCCTAGGGGACAGCACCTGGATGGAGTCCAAGCTCATTTTCTGATCCTTCCCTGAGAGGTCCCCCAGAGTGGAGGTGGCCCCTGCCCGAAGGGACTGCGGGCCTGTCGCTCCCAGCCAGAAGTCCCGCGGTGGCGCCGGGCACAACACAGGCCCACTCTTCTCTGGGAGCAGGAGACGTGAGAACCAGGCCCAACAGACACATCCCTCATCCCCACTCAGGCTCCCCTGGGGCTGCTGCCTTCCCAAGACCCAGAGAGGGCAGTTCGTTGGCACAGGACAGATGAAGGGCTTACAACGGCTGACGCCACCGCACTGGCCCCCAGACCCCGCTGTCCCCCAGAACCAGGCTTAACAGGGGAATCCCTGCGGCAACCAAGAAGCCCTTCAGTGAACGGACAGATGAGTAAACTGCGGGCCGTCCAGACGAGGCAATGCTCTTCCGCACTGAACGGAAAGAGCGATCGCCACGGAAAGCACTAAGGTTTAAGGACCTGGGTGGCTCAGCAGGTTAAGCGGTGGACCTCTGCTTTCGGCTCAGGTCGTACTTTGGGATCATGGGACTGAGCCCTGTGTCAGGTTTCACGCTCAGCACAGAATGTGCCTGTCCCTCTCTCTCCCCCTCTGCTCCTCCCCTCTCTCCCTCAGATAAATACAATCTTTAAAAGACAAAAAAAAAAAAAAAAAAGAAAAGAAAAGAACCTTAAATGCCCATTACTAGCGTAAGCAGCCAGTCTGAAAAAGGCTACAGATGGTGTGAGTCCAACCGTTTGACATTCTGGGAAAGGTGAAAATCTGGAGACAGTAAAGGGTCAGGGTCGGGGGGAGGCGGGAGGGACGGACATGAAGCAAGGAGGATGTTCAGGGCAGTGAAAGGCTCTCTCTGTGACACCGTGATGACAGATATATGTCCTCACCCACCTGAACCCATGAACGCACACCACCAGGATGTCCCGGATATAAAGTGTGGCCTCAGGGTGACAGTGTGTCAACGTCGGTTCACCAGTTTCCAGTGCGCTCTCCCCTGCCGGCTGCTGACAGAGGGGCACGGCATGACCAGGGCGGGGGGTAGGGAAAATCACACCAGCTGCCCCTCAGTTCTGGTCTGAACCCAAACTGCTCTAAAGAAATTAAGTCTCTTAAAAATAAATACATAAGGGGCGCCTGGGTGGCTCAGTCATTAAGCATCTGCCTTTGGCTCAGGTCATGATTCCCGGGTCCTGGGATCGAGCCCCACGTCAGGCTCACTGGTTGGCGGGAAGCCGGCTTTTCCCTCTCCCACTCCCCCTTCTTGTGTTCCTTCTCTTGCTGTGTCTCTATCAAATAAATAAATAAAATCTTTTAAAAAAATACATAAATACATAAAATAAATAAATACACATTTTCGGGCGCCTGGGTGGCTCAGTGGGTTGGGCCGCTGCCTTCGGCTCAGGTCATGATCTCAGGGTCCTGGGATCAAGTCCTGCATCGGGCTCTCTGCTCAGTAGGGAGCCTGCTTCCCTCTCTCTCTCTGCCTGCCTCTGTCTACTTGTGATCTCTCTCTGTCAAATAAATAAATAAAAAATCTTTAAAATAAATAAATAAATAAATAAATACACATTTTCACTTAAAAGGCTAAACGTGACGACACGAGCTGTGTTCCAGCGCCCACCCCACGGCCCCTGGGACACTTCTCCTTGCCTCTCGGCCACTTCACAGAAACCCTAACAGAATGCACGTCAGGTCACCGTACTCTCCCGAGGGCAAATCGGTGCCATCATTCATCACACAAAGGTTGGACTGGGTCCCCCCATGATTGCCAAAGGGGAATTCGGGCTGACAACTAGGCTTCAAGAATTCAAGTCTAAGGGGCGCCTGGGTGGCTCAATGGGTTAAGTCTCTGCCTTCAGCTCAGGTCATGATCTCAGGGCCCCGCATCGGGCTCTCTGCTCGGCAGGGAGCCTGCTTCCTCCTCTCTCTCTGCCTACTTATGATTTCTCTGTCAAATAAATAAAATCTTAAAAAAAAAAAAAAAAAAAAAAAGTCCAGGTCTGGTGGCCTCTCCAGCACATCGCTCACACCAGGCCTCCTCCAGTGGCCTCTTCAAAAACCCAAAGAAAACCGAACAGGCCACGCTGCGCAAGTCCCTAGAGCGAGCGCCTGTAAACAGTGGGAGCTCCTCTGGCGCTGGGAAGTAGCATTGAAATGACAAAGACTCCAGTCCACCGGGGCATCAGCGACGCAGGCTGGCGAGACGTGCCTCGACTCCGCAGCCCGCCGAACGGAGGTGCCCACGGCCTCCCCACGGGTCACCTCCCACAGTCCTTCCGTGAGGCATCTGGACTGCCGCCAGGCGTCCCCACCCTTCATGAGCCGGACAGGACTGGCCCGCGGACCCCCGCCCTCGGACAAGCAGCCAGCCACTGGTGCTTGCTGACTAGTGCGGTCACGTCCATGCGATGCCCCCACCCAGCCTGGCAGCTTCCCGCAGGCAGGGCCCACGTCGCGTGTTCCTGCATCACTTCCCTCCACGGGCCACGAGCAGGTTCAACACCGAGTCCCTCCCTGACTGGGGGGACTGGAGCCACCACGTCCAGTGCTGCTGGAGCCACAGGAATGTGGACACCTCGGACACGGGATCTCAGTTCACTCTCCTCACCGGGGGCTTCCGGGAGCACTGGGGGCCGAGATGAACCAGACTGTCCTGCGGGAGCGTGGGCAAGGCCGTCACCGTGTACCAGCCACTCAGCCACCGGCGGGAACAGACACACCACAGGTGCCCAGCACGGGCCTTGCAGGGAGTAGACAGTAAATCCCACCCACCCCAGCCACCACTGGGCTGCCTGCGCCTCTCCCAGAGTGCCTTGGGGAGAACGAGCATCCAGGAATAAACCAGGAAAGGGGGCCGACTGAAGGACCCCCCCCACACAACTATCGATCACAATCACGAGAAAGGGCCCTGGCCTCTGACTTCACCACTGACTGACCTCTGACCTCTGACTCATGGCCCCTCTGCTCCTGCACCCCAACCCCCACTCCCCCTCCCTCACATACTCTGACACACACACAGGCACACGTGCCCTGGGATTCCCGGCCATCCCCACTAACCCAGCGCTCCCGGAGTGCAAGGCCCCACCCGGGGCGGGGCAGAAACCTGCCCATCCGGGAATGGGCGAGCCACACTGGAAGAGCCGGTTGGGTGTTTCTCTTTCAACGGTAACTTGCGGGGTGGGGGGCGCCGCTCACTTATCAGTACTGCCTGCTTCAGGGAAATAACCCACAGCCCAGACAGAACCATCGGGCCAGGCCGAGTCGGCCAGGGTGCAGGGGCGGGGGGAGGTGCCACAGGCTGGACGAGGAGGGAGCACTTTCTGGACGGCCCCGGCACAGCTCCTGGGCACACACATCCCCTCCAAAGAACAAAGCCTCTCCCGGCTTCCAGCGTGGTCTGCAACACCCCACGCCTAGGCACCTTCACTATTCTAGTAAGGAACAAAACCGATCCTAACATATTTTCGCCGCCTCCTCACTGGCTAGCCCCACCCGCCCAGAGGCGCCTGACCTCCGCCTGGCACAGCACATGGCACAGTGAGGCAGCTCACTTTCCACACCCAACAGTGCCACCTGCCCAGGCACTGGGTCTCCCAGCAGGAAGCGGGAGCCACCCAAAAGACCAGAAGCTATGACAGTTCTAAGACCTCAGAAACTCCTAGGGAGTTTTTAAAACATACACACACACACACACATACACACTCACACAGTCACACACCGCGTTGGAATTGTCCTCAGAGAACTGGATTCAAGAGATGGAGGGCAGTCTGGGCTTTAAAACTTCTTTTAACATATCCCCAGGTGAAAACCAGCCGTGTAAGACAAAAAGAAGAGTTCCACCCACGCAGTGATCCCCAAATGACCTCAAATCTAAACAACATGGACAAGGGGCCGGAGCTGTCTACAACCGGGGCTCCCAGGGCCACAGAGCAGAGACCGAGACAACACCACCCCTCCCCCATCAGCCCCTCTGCAAGACTCCAGCACCAGCACAGGAGCACAACAGGCCTCAACCACCACCAAGAAGCCAGAAAAACCACGTCCGCCACTCGTGGCCAGGGGCTCTCCGCATCGGTACCCTTCTTCAGACACAGGACTAGGCAGCTCGGTGGTGTGGCCCCTGGAGCACTGAAAGGAGGGACTACACTCGAGGCAGGTGCCCCGAAACAGCGAGCGGCAGCGGGCAGAAGCCCTCTGCTCAGCACAAGGTTTTAAAGCCGCTCATCCCCGTCTCAGCCCACGGGCCTGGGATTACGCACATGTGGGCTGCCCCAGGAACTCACACCAGTGCCTCTGGGGGCCGGATCCACAGGCGGTTCAGACCAGGCCCCACGTACGGGCATTGCCATGTGGCTCAGAATGAAAAGACACGGCCTCGACTTCCTCAGCTAAAAAAAGTGGAGGATTCACAGAGAGGAAAAAGAACCACAGTAAGGAGAGAAAAACTAAAAAACCGGGCTGTTTAATAGCAAATAAATCACCCCTAATGCACCCTCTGTCCCTGAGAAGGGCACGGCCAAGGCGGGAAGAACCCACAGCGTGACCGGTACAGTGACCACAGTCGCTATCGGAGACGACGGCCTGTGCCTCTCCGCCCCCGGAAGTCCCGCGCGCCTTCTGCAACAGCCACCCCAGCCACCTGCGTAAAGTTCTGGGAGCACAAGGGGGAGAACCCTGCACAGTGGGGACACTCTCAGACGGGAGGGGTGGGCGCACAGCCACCGGGAGGACGGGAGCCGAGGGAGCCAGGCCAGCCCTGCGTACCTTTGGCATGGAACGTCCAGCCCCTCCGCCAGTACTCCTGCAGCCGGACGCGCTCCTGCTGGCCCAGGCTGCACAGCTCACGGAAGAACTGCCGCTCGATGTGCACGTACGCAGCCGGGATGGCCCCCGCCACCCCCTTGGCCCCGAAGAAGCCGTTCACCTCCGGGGAGGCCAGCAGGATCTGGTACTCAGCCCGCGTGCCCAAGACCAGGTCCATGTAGGCCTGGGTCAGGTTGAAGTAGCCGGTGGTGAGGTAGACCCTGGCGCCTCGCTCAGCCTCTGTCAGCAAGGTCTCAGTGACGATCTCGTCGATCTGGATCTCAAAGGGCTTCATCTGAACCAGTGGGTAAATCCAGGTGTCAGGGGCTGGCCTCCGGTCCCCAGCGGCGGCTGCGTCCTCCTGAGTCAAAAGGGAGTCGCCGTGGAAGGTCTGGGCGTGCAGCACTTGCTGGCGGACCCTGGCGGAGTTGATCACATCCATCACCCTCTTGTTGGCCGCCCTGCAGTACGCAGCCCGGTCACCTGCAGGGACACACGGGAGGGGAGGGTGAGGGCAGGAAGTGGAGGCTCTGAACCCTTGTCTGCATGGGGACGTGGCACCAGACAGCCAAGCGCAGATGCCCCGACCGACCACCTGAGGACACGCTCCGACGGAGCCCAGGCCCAGGCGAGGCTCCTCCGTGGATACCAACGTCCGAGGCAAGGCCACGAAGAGCCTGCGCGAGGAAACGTGACACGGCCTCCACCAGTCACACTTATAAAAAGTTTTTGTTTTTTTTTTTAAAGATTTGATTTTTAAGCCATCTCCACACCCAATGTGGGTCACAACCTCGAGATCAAGAGTCGCATGCTCTACGAACTGAGCCAGCCAGGCTCCCTCTCGAGTTCAAAAACACCCCGTACTACTCGAGGGAGACCCATCAAGGTAGGGGAGCCTGGGATGCAGCGCCCGACGGGCCCCAGAGGGGCTTCCGGGAGCCGCCCACGACGCACATGCGTGTGAACTGCACACCCGTAGCTAGTGCTCGGTGTGCTCTTCAGTGAGAAGGTTTAACAATAAAGGCACATGTGAGCGTGAGCCACAACACGCGGGCACAACTGCGGGCCGAGTGGGCGCCACACGGCAGGACGGTGGGAGCGGGGCCCCCGAGGCGCAGCACGAGGACAGGCAGGCTGGCACCCTGCGCATCTACACAAGACACTGGAGACGGGCGGCCGACCAGACACACTGCACGGACAAGAAGTGACCATAAACGCTATCAGCCGACGACAAGACTGAACCCTAACGAGCCAGCATCCAGCCGGAGAAGCGAGGATCAAACCAAAAGCTCAGTGGGAGCAGGGCCGGGTAAAGCGCAGAAGTTCAGAGAACGTCGACGACGGGACAGCGGAGAGCGTCCATGCTGCCCAGAGCTGGCCCTCCGGGACACTGAGGAAACAGCAAGCCTCGGGGAAGCCTGAGCCAGAATCAGAGAGGAACAGGACAGGACACACTCACAGGCCAGGACAGGGCCACACGGGAGGGCCTCTGGGGTGGGCTCTGGGACGAGGAGAAGGGATGGCTTGTGCAAACCCTCCCTCCCTGACGGCAGCCCTCCCTGACGGCAGCGCCCACAGGGGAGGAGGCAGCCGCCAGCCCCACTGTGCCCCAAGCTGTCCTCCTGAGTGTCACAAGTGCCCCTGCATCCGTTCACTCCTTCCGAGCGGCTCGGGTCCCCTGGGCACAAGTGCACAGGCCCAGACACCCCTACCTGCCCCCTGAGCACGTTCACTTATCCTTCCCAGAACATGGGGCCTACTTCTCCGCACATTCGTGCCTGGCCTGTAGAGTCAGACCAGGGATTGGCCAGTGCTTCCTGTACGGACAGGTATTAAGTACATCAGGCTTTGCAAGCCGAAGTGCAAAATTAAGGATAATATGAAGGCACCCATATAACGAGAAAAAGCAAATTTCCACAAATTTTTTATTGATAAAAATTTAAAATATCACAGTAATAACCAAGCATCCAGGCCGGCAGCAGGCAGAGCAGGCGCCCAGATCATAAGACGGCTCCAGGGCTAGGCTTCCTCTGGCACCCAGGACAGGGGCTCTTCTCCTTATACGGCCAGGGTCTACCCTCCCCACACCGCTGACACTGTTGCAAATTCAGTAGCAGGCCTTCCCAAAGGCCACCAGGAAGCCACAGGAATCACAGGAATGCAAATGCCCCCAGGAACGCCAGGGTTTGCCTGTTTCCAGGGAACAGAGCAAGGGCTCTCCCATTTCACTTTCCAGGCAGGAGGCCACAGACCTCAGCAGAGCTGAGAGCCACAGAGCCTCTGAGCTCCCCCGACTCCATGGCCCTGGGGAGGGCAGGCAGTTAGCAGGCTGCTTCCTGTAAGTGCAGGGCAGGCCCCTGGCTCCCTCCCCCAGGCCCAGGCCAAATCCCACACTCCCACCTTCCCTGGACCCACAGAGCAGGACTGGTGGCCAGTGAGTCACCTCGGTCTGGCCCCAGAGACAAAAGCAAAATGAGCCTCTGTGACCCAAGTCCCGCCAGCACACAGCAAGGCTCCGAGAGGTGCACCCCCCGGGGCCCCCAGCCGCCCCTGCAAGCTCGGGAGGCCGGCAGAGCCCACACCCTACCTTTGTAAGGATGCACCATCCCCTCCAACACCTGCACCGTGTTGTCCGCCTGCAGCTGCAGAGACACATCCCCCACTGCGCCCACCAGCTCCGTGAAGAAGTCCGCGACCTCGGGGCAGTCCTGCAAGAGCACGTAGCGGTCCTGGCGGTTGGTGAAGTATGAGTCGCTCAGGTTAGCGCTGCGGGGAGGAAAGAGGCGGGTGAGGGCTGGGGCCGGAGAGGGCGCGGCAGCGGAGCCGGGGGAACTGGCGGGGGCAGGGCGGCGACCAGTTCAGGACCCCACGGTGGCAGCCAACCCCGAGCCCGGCCACTCGAATAAGACGGGGCTTGAGTGGCATGAGGTGCCACAATGGAGGGAGCCATAGGGGCGCCTGGGTTGCTCAGTAGGTTAAGCCTCTGCCTTCAGCTTGGGTTATGATCCCAGGGTGCTGGGATCGAGCCCCACATCGGGCTCTCTGCTCAGCAGGGAGCCTGCTTCCCCCTCTCTCTCTGCCTGCCTCTCTGCCTACTTGTGATCTCTCTGTGTCAAATAAATAAATAAAAAATCTTAAAAAAAAAAAAAAAGAAAGAAAAGGAGCGAGCCATGGAGCCCCACCCCTGAGGCGACAACCAGTTGGGAGAGGAATGACACTCTCAAAGCTAACTACCCCCCAGGGCTCATCCCCAGGGCCCGGGGTTCAGAATCAGAAGGACCCAGGTGGCCATGGTGGCTCCGTGGTTTGTTTCTTTGGTGTTCCTGGCTCTGCCTGAGGAAGATGTTCGCTCTCTCTAGTCTCTCACACACGAAGTGAGATAAACACTACACGGGTCTCTGCGAGGATGACACACGACAGCACACCCAGGCTCAGAAGAGTAGCTAGCGCCCAGGAAGTGCTCAAGAAGCCGGGGCTCCCTTCTGAGCACCCTGTGGGCTTCCAGAAGCCAAAGCAGACGTGGTGTTGTAGAAGACACGGAGGCAGTATGACAACTAGAGACATATGACCACATTCTTGAAGGCCTGAGGAGATGGACGTTCCTTCTCTGTGTTCCGCTAACTTCCACCCCGGACAGTATCCAGGGGAGACTCTTGAGGCAAGGCAGGCTACTCACCCGCTCAAGATGACATTGTTGTCAAAGAGGTACACTTTAATGTGCTGCAGGCCGATCGTCTCGTTGAAGCGCTCAGGGATCAGGAGCCTGAGAAGCCCGCGCAGGTTAGGCGTGTGGAAGAGAGAGACGCGGACCTGTTCTGGAAACCTCTGCAGCAGCGGGAGCAGCATGGTGCGGGAGTTCTTTCTACCTGAACAGAGGGGTGAGCGGCAACAGGCAATTCACACCAGAAAAGATAGCGAGCCTGGAGGGGAGGAGCCGCCTACCGTAGGCCCACGTCTCCCTGAGCTACCCATCCCAATCAGCCAGAACCCCAGGCACCGCTGCGAGCCGGAGGGCCTCAGACCAAATTCTGCTCTGGACATGGACATGTCTCAGAACAAGCCTGGGGCATTCGGGGCCACAGACAGCTGCCTTATTTTAACACCAGCACCATTCGCCCTCCTCCTGGAAACCATACCCCCCATCCTTCTAGGGGTACCACCCGATTCTACTCTTGGTGTTCCTACTCTGGGTAATAATGGCTCTACCCACCCTGAACCCTTGCCCCAACTCCTCAGGAAGACATCCAGGCCTGGACTGGGCCCATTGGCACACGCAGAGCCCCGGTGCATGGCCCGTGGCAGGCCACTCAGGTAGCAGACCGTCTTTCAATGGATAAAATGTCATGGCCAGATGGGCCTGGGGCTCTCAGAGGTCACCACATGGAGCCTGAGAATAAAGCCAGCCCAAAAGAAGGAGGGCCAGCAGATGGGTCTTGGTGACAAGCCAAACCCCCAGATCATGACCCACCACCCAAAGCAGGTCAGTCACAGGAGTCGAAAACAGCCTCTTTTTGTCAAAGTTTTTCTTTGGGCTTCCAGTCACTTGCTACAGAAGGAATGCTGACAGACAGCCAGGCAGTCTAGGCAGTCTTCGAACATCCTGGCTTTTGCGGGGGCGGGGGGGACAGACACAGACAGATGGGGATGGGACAGGACAAGGGCGTAACTCCAAACAAGGGTCTGAAAGAGGAAATGTCAGAGCAGGCGGGAGTGTGCCAGACCTACCTCTTGAGCCCCGCGTGAAGTCCAAGAGGATGGACACCTTGAGGTCTGAAGGAAACTTGGCTTGGAGTGACTTTTCCAGAGTGTGTTCCAGGCAATCTACCTGCCAAGGAAAGAACCCCAGAAGAAGAGAAGTATGAGATCCAAAAAGATGATTATGTATTAAAAGAAGAGACGGAGGGGCACCCGGGTGGCCCAGTCAGTGAAGCATCTGACTGTTGGTTGTCAGCTCAGGTCTCAATCTCAGGATTGTGAAGTTCAAGTTCAAACCCCACATTGGGCTCCACAGCAGGTGTGGAGCTTACTTTAAAAAAAAAAAAAAAAAAAAAGATCAACTTGCCAGGTAACCCCCCCCCACACACACACGCATCCTCTTGGAACAGACATCTGCACCATGAGACTTCTTCGGAGACCAGTAACAGTAACCAGAAGGTGCCACCCAGCTCCCTCGTCCAGCCAGGCCTCTCAGGGAGAGCGCGTCTGTGGGTCAGACACTTTGCCCAAGCAGTCCCGACCTTGCCACTCTGGGAAAGGCTAAGACACGAGCTCTCACACATTTCAACAGACAATCCCCACAGACACACACAGCAAACAGTGCCTACACAGGGACAGCACTCGGTAAATATTTGCTGAACCAGTGAATCCAAGACAAAACCTGCCCCCTGGCCACTCTCCATGGGCTCGACACGATATTCTTCTCCCAGAAGAACAAACAGGCTTCCCAAGCTTGCAGTAAAAGTGTGTCCTGAAGACAGAAGGAGACCTCCCTGCAGGGGCGGGAGGGGGGGGTGGACAGGAAAGGACAGAAGTGCTTCTGCTGACCCACCGTCCCATTCCTGCCCCCAGTCCCTGGTATTTCCCAGCTCCTACCTGTGGGTTTCCAGACAAGAAGGAACCCAGAGAAAACACTGTGGGCACCAGGCCCATTTCACAGCCCAAGTGGAAAGCCATCTGAAGATGAGGACAACAGAACGGTCTCACTCCCACTCGCGTGAAGTCAGCCCACAGACAGTGCCTGCGCATCAACCGCGTGCTGGACTCCTGCTGCAGGAAGCACGCCCTGAGCTAACCCATGGTTTCTGCTCCTTCCCATCCTGCCCATCTCCCCACAGGCGACAAGTGTGGTGTAACGTCAAGCCCAGGTGGACCAAGGCAGGCCACAGACCTGGCACCTGACCCCAGCCTGACCTGCGCTTTGGTCCATTTGTCTAGTACAGGGTCAGAAAATCTGCTCTGCGAAGGCCCAGGCAGTAAACACCCTGGGCCTTGGGAACCAGACGGTCTCTGTCACAACTCCTGAGTTCCGCCGCTGCGGCCAGAGAGCGGCTACAGACAACACGTTTGTGAGCAAGCACAGCTGTGTCCCAGTAAAGCTTCACCTACAAACACAGAAATCTGATTGCACGGGCTTCTCCTATGTCACAATTAATCTCCTCCTTTCAAGTTTTTTCCAGTCATCTGGAAATGCAAAGACCATCGTTACCCACAGGCCATAAAGAAACGGGCAGCGGGCCGTCGTTCAACGAGTCCGAGACCAGCACACAGAGCAGCCTCGGAACCGTGGTGCAGGGTGCAGAGGACCTGTGGGCGAGGACGAGCCCCCGCCCCACACCAGCCCTCCTGACTGGGCTGACTCCCAGCAGGACGGGGCGGCTCGACCCCAATCCCAGGGCACCGCGCAGCCAGGGGGAGCGGGGCAATGCACTGCTGCCGTGGGACCACCCCCACCTCAAACCTTACCAGTTCCTGTTCCAGAGGACCTGTCCCCAGGTAGAGTGACGCCATCACCACGCGTCTCTTGGCCGCGTTGATCTGACTCTGAAGGAGAAACAAGTCACAGTCATTTCCACAGCTCACAGAGGGCACCAAACAGGCAAGGCCCTGGGCCAGCTCTGCCATCTAAAGTGAGCCCCACGCTAACAGTAACCACCCAAATAAGGACCCACGATCCTAATTTAAAATACTCCCCCTGAGGGGCCCCCAGGGGACTCATTCCATTCAGCGTCTGCCTTCGGCTCAGGTCATGATCTCACGGGTCCTGGGATCAAGCCCTGCATCGGGCTCCCTGCTCAGGGGGGAGCCTGCTTCTCCCTCTCCCTCTGCTGCTCCCCCTGCTTGTGCTCTATCTGTGTCAAGTAAGTAAAATTTTTTTAAATCTTAAAAAAAAAAAATACTCCCCCTGAGAGACATGACCTAACTATATGAACCATGACATAGCCATCAAAAGAATGAAGGCGGCATGTGACAGCGACCTGATACGATGTCCAACGTACTGCTGGGACGGAAGCCATGGCTGCCCTGGGCGCAAACCACGCCCCATTCACGAGCCCCCACCCCCAGGGGGGAGGCAGCGCACGTGGGGCACGTGCAGGGCACAAGAGCACGTCCCTAAGGGGCAGAGGTGGGGAGTGTGGGAGCCAAGGCACGTGCTGCTCTGCCCCCGTCCGCACCTGCATGGCTGGCCTTCACGGTGAGCGGGCACGTATTTCCTCTGAAGCGCCGACGGGTCCCCAGCACAAGGAGAGAACAGACCAGCACTCAAAGATGACTATGTCACCTCAGTCCAAACAGGCCAAGTGATCTCTCTAGACCTGCTCCAGTGTGGGGAACCACGACGCCCTCCGGAGCTCGAAGCACCCTGCCCTGGTGGTGGGGCGGGGGTGGGGGGTTCGCAGAACGATGGGTGGTGTGCCAAAGGTCAGGCTCCGCAAGGAGAGGCAGGTGGGCCAGGCCTCGCAGGAGGAGGGAGGCAGGAAGCAGGACACACGCCTGCTTTCCCACCCAGGAGCGATGCGGCACCCACAGCCCGCACGGCAGGCACGGGAGGGGCACCGACCACAGAAACACACGAACACACTGGCACGAGGCCCGCAGGCCAGGAAAGCACAAGATAATGTCCCACGTTCGCCGCCTCCTCGCCTTGGTTGTTTGGGAGGCCGATGCCGGCAGGGAACACGGTTATACGGAGCGAACCGTGACTCAAGCGGAGGCACCTCGGCTCAGGCGCTGGGACGAGGGCTCGCAGGCCAGGCAGACCGCAGGCTGCACTCGCCTCTCAGGGAGCAAGGCCGCTCTGTGGGCCCAGGGAAGACACACACCCCACGCAATCCTGCACCAGAGTCTGCCCGGAACCGGTTCAAAGGGCAGGATCAGGGCTTCCTCGCAGCAGGGCCAAGCCCTGGGGCCCTTCCTGTCCCCCACGGCCCCGCCCAGGCAGGTGCTCAGCCAGGGGACGGCCACGCGGAGACGCAGCCGGTCCTTCAACCCCGAGCTGACTAGAACACAAAGAACAGCCTCTGCAACACCTGTTTCTTCCAGCCGAACAGAACCAAGCAGGAGCAAAGAGCAAAGCACCTTAACATCCCTTCTCCACAAAGATGCCAGGACTGATGAGCAGCGCAGGGAAGTGGTGTGAGCACGTGCACGCACACACGCACGCACACACACACGCAGAATGCTCTCTGGAAGGAGCCAGTCAGAAATTAAGCTGAGTGTGGATCTACGGGACAAGAGGCCAAAAGGAAAAAGTACAAGTATCCAAATCAAGCACAGTTTATTCTGTAGGAAAATTAATTTCTACATGTATTTCCTATTATCTACCACCGTTCTGCCTGTCTGACCTTAATTCTAACATCACTGCTAATTTGAACCCAGAGGATTCGTGTTAATAAAAATTAATCAGGGGGGCACCTGGGTGGCTCAGTGGGTCAAGCCTCTGCCTTCAGCTCAGGTCATGATCTCAGGGTCCTGGGATCGAGCCCCACATTGGGCGCTCCGCTCAGCAGGGAGCCTGCTTCCTCCTCTCTCTCTGACTACTTGTGATCTCTGTCAAATAAATAAATAAAATCTTTAAAAATAAATAAATAAAAAATTTTAAAGAATAAAAATTAACCAGCTTCGAACGACTCATTCAACCTGCAGTCTCGCCCGGAGCAGCGGGACAGGCCGCGAACAGCTGAGCACTGCGCGCTCCAGCCCCCAAAAGCAAAGGCATCATTGCCCGGACAGAGGCCCAGACTTCAGACACAGTCCCGGGAAAGAACAGGGATCATAAGGCCTAAAATCAGGTGTCCACATTCTCCAGTGACCGGGAAGTCCAGCCACTTCCTGCACATCAAGTCTCACCCACGAGTCACAGCTGAGTTTTCCCCCCGGCACACCCACCTACCAAGAAGACACCACTGTGTCCTGGGGATGTTTCCAGGGGAAGGGTCTGTCTGCTGTGACATCGTTAGCCAGGGCGCCCACACGCCCTCACTAACCTCCCTTCCAAAGGAACCGACGGAATCAATCTGTCCACAGAATCAAGATCACTGCCCACCCACCCTGAGCTACTCTACCTGAGACGGTAGCCACACACGGGAGCCTCTGATGATGGCACAACTCAAGCATTTGTGAGCCTGAAAACCTAACAGGGAGAAGAACCCACAGCAAGAAGCCGAGCAGCCGTCAGAAACTTCCTGAACGGAAGGCACTTCTGCTCAGGACTCACTCGTCCTCACGCCTGCAAGCCTCTATCTCAAGCGTCCGTCCCTCTCTCGTGTGAACACAACTTACCTTCATGAGCTCAAAAAACTCGGCCGGGGATGAAAGCACCCTGACGTGGGAACTGGAGACCCCAAACTCTGGGACCAGGTTTCGGATCCACTGGAACCTGTGCACACCCTCTGGACACAGGCAGCAAGGTGGGGAGGTGACCTGGGGGACAGCTGGAGACAGCAAAGGAGCCAAGAGCAGCCATGGCGACCTGGTTAAAGAGACACGGAAAGGGTCACACTTCTCAAACGCTTCCTCAGAAGTCTCTCTCAGCTATGGGGGCCCCGCACGTGAGGCGGACGGGAATTTTTTTTTAACCAATTCCAGATTCTCTAGACCATTTTAAGTGAGCCCAAGTCAAACTCTGCAAAGGTGCTTTTCCTTCAGCTCCTACTAGCTGAGCAACCTGAGAAGCGCCAATGCCCACAGAGAAAGCCCAACTGGCGGTTGGTTCCAACAGCTCCCAGTCTAGAGTGGCCGTGAGAAACCACCCAGAAACCACCGCGGGGCTGACAGCGGGGGGCCTGCCAACCTGGCCTGCAGAAGGCCGCTGGCCACGGCCCGGAGCCTGGGCAAGTCTGGGTGAGGGAGCCCCCTGCAGCCCAGGGCTGTGGAGAGGAACGAGGCTTTTATTTAGGGAAGGACCCAGAAAAACTAAATTTTCTCTTGAATCCTCGACTGTGGAGTGAGGGGCGGAGCAAGAGGAGCCTGGGGGGCCATCTCAGCCGCAGACCACGTCTTCCTCGTCTTCCTCGGGGCTCACAGCACAAGCCGCGCCCCGCCCCCTGCCGGCCGGCCCCCCTCCACTACGGCAGCACACACCTGCCGCCTGCCACCTGCCGCCTGCCCCCCCCCCGGGGGGGCCCGGGGAGGGGACACACCCAGAGCCCCACACAAGCCGGGCCCTATTCTCAAGTCCAGCAAACAGTAGCAGGAACATCCTCTGCGGTGCGTGCCCTTCTACTACCACTCCAAGGGCGCTCTGGGGAAAGGGCGCCGGAACACCCCAAGGCCCGAAGGGTCACAGATTCCAGGAAGATGACTTCATTCACTTGCTTCATGATAAAGCACTGAATCTTCCCAGGGCGCGCAAACGGCCCTACACAGACGCCAGATGGCCCACAGCTGTGCTTCCCAGAAAGCCCGCTGGTCTGTCCCAGCTGACTCACAGCCAAGAAAACTTCAGTCAACGGGGGGGAAGGTAGCAGCTCTGTAGATCCTGGGAAGTCAGGGGCTGGCCTGGGGCCCTCGGTGCAGAGTGGGGAGAGCGGCTAAGCTTTCTCGCTGTCTCAGAGAGGGGGTGACGGCACTCGGGGTGCCAGCTTGCTAAGGTCCTCCAGCTTCCAGCTGACGAGCAGCAGCGGGCCAGCGAAAGGCTTAGACGCAAAATCTAGGGATTGCTGCCTCGATTTCCCCAACCGCAGGCCTTACTCCCACCACGCTCAAAGCTAACTTCCAGGAGGAGAGGGAAAGATCCTTCAGTCCAGTAGAAAACCACGAGACAGTGGGAAAGTCTGCACGACACTCTATCCATCTGAAGCCCCAGAGGGGGCCTAAAGTCTAATTTTCATTAATTAAACATGGTCTGTTTGAGGTGGAAAACCCCACAGCAGCGCCACACCAATGATCTCCCAGCCTCACGGCACTTATCCTCTCTCAGCCCATACTGACAAAGAACCAGGGCGACCACCAGCACCTCCGCCCCACCCCGCCGTCCGTCCACGCATCCTTCCCCTGGGCCAGCAGACTCCCCTCGACTCCCCGAAAGGAAGCTGCGGAGACACACTCCGGCACACGGCGACCCAGAGAGGGCAAATGCCGGCTCGGGCTGCAAGCCCAGGCACCGTGTGAGCGCTGTTCCGGCCTATGTGGGGGGCACAAGGGGCAAGCAGCCCAGACGCCGCCCCCACGAACCTGGCGGCCTCACAGGCTTCCTGCACACCTGAAACCATCTGAGAACAACACCGGGGGAAAAGGCCACCATGAACTGAAGGTGGAACTGAAGGTGGAACTGGGCAGCACGCGTGTCTAGAGTGACGGCAAAGGGGAGCTGGTGGTGCTGAGCGCCTGGGGAGGCCGGAGGACACCCTCTCTGCGGAGGGTCAGGCAGGGCGCTCGGAGGGGCTGCTCCAGGCAAGGAGGGGGCTGGGCCAACGTGAGCCGCAGGTGCTGGCAAGCGCCACCACCCGTGGGAAACCCGGGAGGGGGTCCGCAGCCAGTCCAGAGGACGCAGGCGCCCAGGGCCCCACCGTCAGCCCGGTCCTGGCCCGGAGACACAGCGGGTGGGCTGGGGCGGGCCGGGCTCAGGGACCCGGGCTGCTGTGGGCAGGCCTCGTCCCTGCCAGGCAGCTGTCCCCGGGAAGGCTCCACCAGGGCCCCCGTCCAAGACGTGCCGAGGGCTTTTTCATGCCGGCTTCCTGTTTAATCTGCGTGCTGGCAGGTGTATTTTTGCTAGAGAGGAGAAGGGGCTGAAAGCCAATCAGGTGCAGGGAGTCGGGGAGGGGGAGACCCAACCCTCAAGCAGCAGTTCCAGACACCCGAAGAGGAAGGCGCTCTGAGAAGGTCCCCCTGGTGAGGGCAGCGGGCCCCCGCGACGGCTCGGGCGTGGTCTCCACCACACCTAGACGCGGGACACTCGAGTCTAACTGGAGCGCTTCCGCTGGGGCAGAAGCAGCCAAGCCCAGGTCCACTCGGGGCTCATTTTTTCTTTCGCTTCCGCCCGAAGCCCACGGGGGGTGCGCTCCCGCTTTCCACAACCCAACTCCTGGCAATCTTCCCAGAAAAGGTTGTTCCCGGAGCTAGCAGCACCCCCACCACGCAGTCACCCCAGTCTCCGGGGCGACCACCTGCACAGGCAAGTCCCCTCACCCCAGGGAGGCTTACTAAGAAACCACAGGTCCCAGGTCAGAAGCCCAAGCCCCGAGAGATCTGAAGAGCTGCGGTTCCTTCACCAAAAGAGCAGAGCCGTGTCACACGCGCCATTCAGAGAACTAACCCGGCACACACACAATTTCCACATCTAGACCCGGACTCCCCTGAATCATCTTTCCAGGACCATCCAGCTCCAGTTTCTAGTTGCAAAGAAGAGGTGGGGGGCGGGACCAGATAGAAGAGGAAGGGGGGCACCAGCTTCTGCTGACTCAGGAATACCATGGAAGTCTGGAGAACAGGGCCAGGGCGAGCACCTAGGGACACTCAGGCAGGCCGGCGGCACAGGCAGCAACAGCAGACAACGCAAAAGGGTCCCCAGCCGACAGTTCCAACAGTGAAAGGAGCCAGCGGGCTCTGGGAAGGGCAGGCTCCAGCCACCCACGGGACACCTGACTTTGGGTACAGGTTCAGCCTCGGGATTTAAGGCTTTCCGTGGAATCTGGAAAGTGCCTGCCCTGGGCCGCAGGCTGGGTCTAAGTGCTGAAGACCCCTGACCTGGGCCCTCCCCACCCAGAGAGACCTGTGCGGGAGGGGTGAGGGGAAGGCCTCAGGGCGACTCTAAAAGGGCACAGGGAGCATGAAGCGAGGGAGGGGCAGAGAGGAGGGGAGTTTCTTCCCACCGTCTCTAAGAGAGAGCCACATCTGAACTGCCAGACTAAGGTGCTCTTGTCCCTGAGCCCCCAGACTGGGGGGTGGGAAGGTGGCCAGCCACCACACGAAGACCACGGAAGCCTACCCAGCCTAGAGGGCAGTCCTGGGTGCGACAGGGCAGCCCATCCCTCCTGCCGGGCAAGGGACGGCAGTGGGACTTGAGTTCAGAATAATCAGTCACTCAGAAACTGAGCATAAGAGCCCCCGAGACACAACCAAATGCAGCTACTGACACGGGGCCTCAGGGGAGAGAGAGGCGTTTCTCCTTTTTGTGGGGAGATAGTTTTCCATTTCACCGAACATCTTAAAGTTGTGTGTGCTCCATGGAAAAAGACTGGCACACCTTGTACTTTTCCTCTGTCTGGATGTGCAACAATGTGCCTGGAGGTGCACCCGAGTTCCGTGGCCAGTGGCGAGATGCCAGTAGAGCACGGCGGGGCGCCCGGGGGGCTCCATCCGTGAAGCATCTGACCCTTGACTTCAGCTCAGGTCATGATCTCAGGCTGGTGAGCTCAAGGCTCTGTGCTGCGTGTGGAGCCTGCTTCAG